TGTGTTTACTGCTTGGTCTTACATGATCTTGACTTATTTTGTTTTTGGTTTTATATTCTATATGTATGTAATAGTTAAGATAAAAAATCAGCTACTTCATTTATATGATTTTAAGTTTAAAGCAACTACATTCACAGGATTTTTTTGTTTATACACAGTTTTGATTTAGAAGAAAAAGACATGGTAAGACAATACAAATAATAACACCATTACAACAATGTACAAACACAATTCCATTTTGATATTCTTGTACGTGTCTATAACATGTATAAATAGAACAATTCTATTTAATTTTAGAAATTTTACCTGTGATAATGTAAACGTCACAAAAAATTGATCCATTCATGTGACGCGCAGTTTATATTTCGTTTGTGGTGTCTGGTGTGCTGTCGTAAATTCATGGGACGTATCCGTTGTTATTCTGCGGTTTAAATGTTGTAATGTACTATTATATTATTTATTTATGTATTTCCCTGTTCTGAGTGTTCCTGCGTTTGTTTGTACTGTATTCCTGTCGTTTTAGCGGTATTTTAAACATTGCCATATAAGCGGGATGTTTGGCTAGCCATAAAACCAGGTTCAACCCACCATTTTTTCTTAAAATGTCCAGTACCAAGTCAGGAATATGTCAGTTGTTATCTGCAGTCCGTTTTTATTTATGTTGGCGTTTGCTTTTGTTGTAGTTCGGTGTTTCTGTTGTTCCGTTGTTTTCCTCTTATAGTTGATGTGTATCTATCGGTTTTCGTTTGTTACCCGGATTTGTTTTTGCTTAATAGAATTATGACTATTGAACACCGATATGCTACTGTTGCCTTTATTTGTCATTGATTTTAATTTGAAGTCGCCCATATGTGTCAATATCGAGGAAAACATCATGATATGACGCACACCTTCAACTGTCATGCATTAGTATCCTTAATCTCAAGTTCATTAAGATGATGAGATGTAAGCACTCATTGAAATATGGGTTATTGAGTGACAGTTCATCATCAATTTATCTAAAAGTTAAATTAAAGAACTTTGCAAGATGCATGCATGTTCTTTTTGTCTTTTACGCAAACCCCCATTAAGTGTTCTGTAACAACAATATTGCCCGTAATTCTTTTGCTGTTTGAGGAGTCGCATGGCCATGGATATAAAAGAAACTTTGCCGAGATACGTTTCGATACTTTTTTTTCGTAAATGTAGTGGCCTAAAACGTTTGTAGAAAAGTATATATAGCAGATTTGATTTTAGTCCAGCTTTATAATTCTGTGAAAGCCTTTATTTGTGCAATTCTTGCATCACGTGCATGGTCATTAGATTTATCCGAAAAACAATGACATCGTCTAAATAAACTAAACTAAATTGAATGCTAGCCATTTGAGATTTAGTCTATAAGGCTGGTAAAACTGGAACATGAATTACAAAGTCCCACGTGCAAGGTTTTATATTGCCAGAAACAACCAGTTCATGCAACAAAAGTTTAATAGCGGTCTTGTCTTTCGACTGTTGCCAATATCCTTGTTTGAAATCTATAACCGAAAACTGTTTTTCCCAAGATAGTAATCTAATGTGTCATCAAATCTGGAAAAAGGGTGGACATCTTTCACTGTGAAGTCATTTAACATTCTATAATCCAGAACAGAACTTTAAGGTCCAATCTTTCTTTCTACCTAATAATAAAGGACTAGAATAAGGACTTCGATGTTGTTCAATGGCTCCGTATTTCGCATTTCTTTATTTCCCGTAGACTTGATTAAAAATGGCATTCAGCGGGATGTTGCCATATAGTTTTTGCACTACCGCTGAGAATCAATTCATTTTTTGACAATTTCAGTTTTACCTATATCTGTGGATGTTTTGAATATACATGTTCGTCTTCATACAATAATAATTTCATTTCTGTTTCCCTGAAAGATGAGAAGAAGTTATTTCAATCAACTTTCCTAGATGATCAAAATAATATGAGCATTTATTTAACAAAAGTGCAACACGATTTCCTGCATTTTGACGGGAGGAGTGTTCATTTTCATTTTCTCTTAGGCCCGGTTTTTTTAAAGCCTTTGCCTTGCCAGAATTTTCAATTCCAAATATCAAATTGTCATCCCCTTTTAGGTAATATAGCCTTGTCATTCTTTATTTTTATTATTTTCAGTTTAAATGGATTTACCATCAAATTCGTTCCTTTATTAATATTAAACTATGCTTAGTTTATAGAATACTTGGTTTATATGTTCTTCAGAAAAGATTCTTTGACGTTAGCTTAATTTTCATGATGGCCATGCTTCAGTTTTCGTTATTACCTTAGGTTCCCAACATCTAGGCGAACCCGTTCTTGGATAATGCAATTAATATATATAAACTTGCAATGGCCTACGGCAGCATTATCTACGTCATGTGGTCTCTGGTGGATAGTTGTCTCATTGGCAATCACACCACATCGCCTTAATTTATGTAAGGAATGCATGCCGTTATGACTGATCACGAACTAATGTTCAAAGTGCATTACGGAACCTGAACCGTTTGTCATTAGGATTGGCGTCTTGCCTATTTTCTTTAAACATTTTTTTAAATGTATAGAGCATATATTGAAGTATTGTTAGCTGCAGATGTTATTCTCCTGAACAATACTTAATTTTCATGGTCAATGTATCAGCACATTATTTGTGATCGATAAAATATGTTTAGTCTTTCGATTCATTACAAGGTGTACATGACTGACGAGGTTCGTCTGACTTTGATTTCACATTCATGATTTATTCATCAGCAATACAATTATGATAAGGTCAGTTTCTTGAAGTAATTGCTTGGTTGTATTTGTCTGGAATCTTTAAATGTGTGTATATTCGTCCAACAGGGTTCACCTAGCTGACCTTGACCTCATTTTCAGTGTTAAGCTGTTATAGTACTTAGATCTGAAGGACTTTCATCAAAACAATCAGCCATAAGATTGCATTTTATTCATTTTTGTCAATAGATAAGTAAAGATGTCATGCTAATCTGACAAGAGAAGAATTGAAGAATATATAATATGATATAGGTTGATTGATTATTCGGTGGATAAAGCACTTTTATCTCTATTGGCGGCCAGTGTTTATAAGCGCGGGAAGCCAGAACGCCATGATCTATCCATCGAGCTTCGGCAGAAAAACTGACAATCATAGCCAATTACGTTTGGAGTCGAATGCACTTGCCATATTGGTGTTTAAAGGCGCTTTTAGCACTATTGTGCTATTTCGTGGCAGTCAGGTTTTACTTGCCATTTGCGGGTTTCGAAATCACAACCTGTGTTGACAGGCCATTGATACAGATGAACTACGTAGACCACTCGGCCACCGAGTTCCCATGTGATATAGACATGCACTTGTTCATTGTTTAAGACTGTATATTACCTTTTGATGTCTTGTCAATTTTGAGCAGGGTTTGCACTGAGATATTCCCAACATATCCTTTTATTCATATCATAACTTTAGCAGACTATATTTTTAAAAACAGCTGTCCCAGGAAAACTAAAGGTGGTTCAGTGAAAACATTGTTGGTGATTTTTTACAGTGAAAGATGTAGTTTCAGGTGATTAGCTTTGAAATGCTTCTTTTTATATTCAATTGGTATTAAATGATTGAAGATTGTCATATCACTCGTAATCATCCTGTGTCACTGCGATTCACTCAACACAGGCAAGGGTGATTTTTACAGAATATCCTTGTGTGTAATGAGGTATTCAGGCCACACCAAATTACTTTTTTGTCCTCCTGACTCACAGGCTCTTTTTTTTCTTACTTTCAACTTCAAAATAATATTTATTCCAATCAAGGATTTGTATAGTATTACTATACAAACCCTTGTTCCAATCCAGTGTCCCTCTTATTTAAATTTGCAACTTACTGGATCGGTTACAGTTTTAGGTGGGGTTTGCGTTTCTCAGTTATTTTTTTTAGATTTTTATGTAGTGTTCTGAAGAGTTGTTTTTCTTTGGTCACTTTGGTTGTTATTTTTTAGCCATGATTTTGTTGGTCACTCTTTGGCTTTTTAGGTTTGATTTTCCCTTTGGTATACAGTAAAACCCTTTCTACCAGTCCTCACAGCGATTTACTTTTTATGATATTTTAAATGCACTTATATAAGAGGCGAAAGATACCAGAGGGACATTCAAACTCATAAGTCGAAAATAATTTGACAACGCCATGGTTGAAAAAGAAAAAGACCAACAGACAAACAATAGTACACAAAACACAGCATAGAAAACTACAAACTAAGCAATTCGTCCCCCACCAAAAACTGGGGGTGATCTCAGGTGCTCAGGAAGGATAAGGAGATCCTGCTCCACATGTTGCACCCATCGTGTTGCTCATGTTTGTACAAACCCGGTAATAAGTCTAATTGGGTAAGTCGCATTCGTGAAAAGGGGACAGGATTGTAGTTACGACATTAGGAACATATCCTAAAAGATGATTTAAGTTTACATATATGTTACAATTTTTATTCCTTTTTTTTTCAATTCATGAAATTTGTATAAAATTAAGTTCGTTCATCATATAATCCAGTTACATTTGATGAGTTTTTACAGTATTCAACCTTTTGTTTTACTGTTTTTTAACATCTGGAATTTATTAAAAAATCAATCATATCAATAAAACATCCTAAATTATAAAATGTGACACTTCCAACACCAAATCTCCTTTTATTCATACTACTAATAAACTCATCATAGATACCAGGATTCAAATTTTGAATGCCAGACGCACATTTTGTCTACAAAAGATTCATCAAATAGAGAAATTTAAAAAGGCCAAATAACTTAAAAAGCATTCAGTACCCAAAATTCCGAAATGTTTTGCCAAATACAGCTAAGGTAATCTATTCCTGGGGTAGAAAGTTTTTTAGTAGTTCAAAATATTAAAAGTTTTGTTAACAGTTAATTAAGTGGCATTTTTCCAGGGATCAGCTCTTTGGTTCAGCAATATACCAAGTGTATAAACATAATCAAACAGATTACCTCCATATTTATAAGAATAAAATTAATTTGATCAGTTCTTTAATTTTTATAGATATATCTTCCATATCACATTAGTCAATAACAAACATGTCACAACTCAACATGTCAGTCAACAGGTCACAACTCAACATGTCACAATTCAACAAGTCACAACTCAACAATAAATATATAGATTCTGGATAGAACAATAAAAAATAAATATTCATACCATAAAAAATAACAAAATAACTTAAGTCAAATTCACTGTTCATCATTTAGCACATTCTGATACATTTTATATTTGTGCTAATTTTCACCATTTGTGTATTCAAAACAAATTTACATTTAATAGAATCCATGTTTTATTAAAAGTAATTAGGGACTAATTTACTGTGATACAAATATGTGTATATTCAAAGTCTGTATTAGCATCTACACTGCTCCCTCATTAAACAGTGACCAGTTTATGCGGGATATGTGAAGGGGGCAATAAATAGAAGAAAGACTGATTGAATGGCTAGTTTGTTGATTTAAACAAACACTCTGAAACTGCAAGGAATACACGTACATTTACTACAATCAAAGTGCTTGTGAGCACTGAAGGGTAAAGGTTACATTTATTTTGCAGTGGAAACTTAAAATTAAACACTGAATTGTATTAGACATTGGAATGTAATACTATGAATTGGAGATATAATTGTAATTGGTTCAACTACAATTATGTATAAAGGAAGATAACTCCAATTTATTTTTTTTAGAGCAGATACTAGATTCATGCACTATGCACAATTTATGTAATTTTCTTGACAAGTATGGTTATACACATACACATCATTTTGTAACTTCAGTATCTGAGTATATATTTCATTGATATATTTCTAGAAATTTTCATAGGTAGGATGTATAGAAAGTTGTACTCAATGCACTATGTTTTGTGTATATCAAAAGTAGTGATAAAATCTTGAAATTGAGCTATCAAGCCAGCCACATAAGGATTTTGATTGCATGAATGCAATCTTTACCCCAAAAACTGGAATTTTGATTGATTTTGTAACAGTTGTACATAAATCCTTTTGGCAAGATGGAGATATGCAGTGGGGTATACTATTAGTGAATTTTAATTTACAGTAAACCGGACTGAGAAATATACAAGTTCTGTAGTTTAAAGTGGGACAATTTTCTGATGCACTGTAACAAAAAATTGCCTTTTCTGATATAAATGAAAAAATGTGTATAGTAAAAACAATTACAAGTAGGGTATTTTAGTATAGTCATCAGATTTGTCATTCAAAAACCAAACTGGTTGCAGGCTTCTTTAAAACTTTTAAGAGAGTAAAAACCACTATATGTTTGTTTCAAGACTTTCTGTGTCTATTGAAAATGATGTTAGAAATATTTTATTATACTTTTTTTATATAGAGTAACTGTGTTAATGCAAGAATACTGAATATTGATTTTTCGGTTTTATAATAAAATATTTTCATTTGAGTAACATAAGTTGCTATTTTCAGCATGAACAAAAACTCCACAAGAAATTTGAACAAAGCGTTCATGGAATGATACGTCGTGGTCACATTTTAAAACTTTTAACAAGCATAGAAAAAAGATTTTTATTTATAGAAATCATGTTCTAAATTTTTCAGAAAATGTATGGTTCGTCTAACCAGAGACAGATCTAACTAACATTCTTAAAGAGACTACTGATATAGCATTTGGTTCTAATATAATGCGTAGAATAAAAAGAATGGTTGTAATAAATTCTTACCAATAGGACAGGTTGCATGAAAATTTTTTTTTTATAAACCACTAACATAAGCTGAAGATAAAACATTAATGACAATCAAATAAGGGATTTCCATGAAAAAGTTTATATGTGCACTCAGAACACAGGGAAATATAGATTTCACCACAACAACTAGTGTGTTACAATATTTCTCCACCCGAGACAGTTAAATTTTAATATTTAAAGCGCGAGGCTTGCTTAGCTTTTTAAATTAATAAAATTTAACTGTTGAGAGTGGAGAAATATCGTAATACATGAGTTATAGTGGTGGAATCTGTTTCTCTAATGATTTTTATCTTTCCTTCTGAAAGATTTGCAGAAAATTGTGTTCTTTATATGTGATGTCATCAGGCATGGTCGCCTTTTTCATGACGTCACAATAGGAAATTCAGAAGAAACCAAGAAAATTTAACGTCATAATTAAATTTCAACCAATCATTTGTCGAGAACAGATATTTCACTAGTGAGGAGAACAATGTTTTCACAATCGGTTGGGAAATGTGAAAATAGTGAACAAATTAGAGAATACAGTATCTTTTATAGACAATTACTATCAAAGAAAATATGAAATTTTTTTAAAAAAATTAAGATTTCTTCATTTTGCTAAATACAATGTATTTATAATTCCAGAGACAACATTCACCAATGAAAAGTTTAGTAGAAACAAAGTTCTTAAAATTCATATGATGAGCAAATATATATCATTTCATGGTCAAAAAGATTTTTAATTAAAATATGGCAAAACATCTATGTAACAATGCATACATATATTAAAATCATGAAAAATAATTTATTCAAGTAGTAGATAATAATATACTTGATAATATTTTGATGTATAGCATTTATGTGACATGTTTTGTTCATATTATGCTTTGGATAGAATAATACCCATGGGAGATAACTTTATGCTGTCATGATCAACTATGGGAAACAACTCTAAACTGTCATGGTCAACAATGTGTGAAAGATAACTTCATATCCTGATTATTTATCATAACATTAGCATTATCTCAATATGTTATAAAAAAAATAAACTAGGATTTGTAAGAAAGAAAATAATTGGACCTCTTCCTCAGACGTATAAAAAATTGCTGAAATTTATAAGTCTCTAAAAGTTGTATATGCATAAAATACTAACGTTTATGTATGTATATTTTAAAAGATTATTACAAAACATTGCCATCTGAAATTATTATAAGCCCCTTAATACAAACCATTCAACCTGCATCCATAAAGTTTCCATTGTGTATAAAGCTTTCATTTCAATCATTGCATCTGGATTTCTATTTCAAACAATGTATTGTAACTAATTAATACATTCAATGGGCACTATTCTCTGAAATTCCCACAAAAATATGTACAAATAATTCTCAAAATATAATAAAAAATTTAAATGTACAGTAAATATACCAATTTATAAAAAAAGAAATATGCTTTACACAATTGACATGTTGAACACCACAAAAACACAGATTTAACATCAAATTCATTTATTTTTACAATTATTTTATTTCAAATGATGTACTGGCCAAAACTATTATAAATTTTTTGGATAAAACTACATAAGGCATCAAAGTAGACTGCGCTGGCTGAATGCTTGATGTTCAGTGGCAAATATTCAGATTCATATTTTAACCTCTACTGATAAGCTGAATCAGCTGATTAATGTAGTATCTTACAAGGAAAAAAGAAGATTGCTTTATTGGTGTTTAATGCCAATTTCAGCACTTTTGTGCTTTTTCATGGTGGTCAATTTTTTTTTTGATGGACGAAGCAGGAGTGCTGAAAAAAAAAACCACCAACCTTCGTTAGGAAAACTGACAATCCTAGTCAAATAAGATTGGAGTTGAGTGCACCTGCCACATGCCAGATTAGAACTCAAACCTCAGTGTTGACAGGCTACTGATACAATAGTAACAACTGAGACCACTTGGACACCAATGCCCCTGATAAAAGAAGACATTTTACCCTACAAGGACACATTATTCTGATCCAGTTTTTGTTCTTTGTTTTCAATTATGTGTTCTTAGCAGATAATTTTTTTTGAAATGTTTTCCTTTTAAAATAATCCAAGGACTTTTTGGTAGTGGTTTTCCTTAAAGAATTAAATAGGTCATAGAAACAAATTTCACATATTTTCATATAAGAAAAATATATATTTAAAGCAGATGTTATTAATAATTCAACATGTTTGTAGTCAGATATTCAATTTTGAATTTTTAAGCACAATGAAAAATAGGAAAAATACTATTCAGATTTGTTTAGCAAATTTCCATGGTCAACATATCTAAAATTACTGCTTTAAAATAATCAAATAGAAAAACGCATGAAAAGAGGTATAACATTTGCAAAATTTGAAAAGCACCATATAAAATCTAGCCCATAATATTCGGCTAAACTAAAAAAAACATGAAAAGCATTGAACACTTAAGCAATAAACAGTACATTTACATAAGAAAACATAAGGGGGATGACACGTTTTTGGGATGTGGGATATAGGGGGTAAAAAAAATGGGGATGAGGGATATAGGGTAAAAAATGTGGATGTGGGAAAAGAAGAAAACAAATGTAGGGAGAAGGAAAAAAATACGAAAAAAGCAAGATTTGTGAAATAAGCAGCCCTGTGTCACACCACTTAAACATGGCTGTTGAAAACCAAACATTGGCATCATGAGTAGCAAGGACAAGGGAGATAACCCATTACAATATTCTGATCATATAGCACAGCAATAGATAATTTATGTACAAATCTGAAAACTATATTTACAAAGAAAGGAACCTTACAATGTTGTATCATTTGTTGGAAAGACACTTGTTTAATAATTATGTTCATCATTAACAATCAAATTGTGCGAATGCTGTTCCTGTAATGTATAGTTAATTGTCAATATTCAGGCATTTATAAAATGAACAAAATACAACAAAGTCAATGTCAACTACAAAATATATTTCAACTATCACAGTCAATAAATTTTTCCGTTCAAATTGTCAAACTTAATGTAGAAATAAGTTTTAACATTTGATATGAATGATATAAAAAAATTTACAAAAGATTTATAAATACCATTGAAAGACCATTATCAGATTTTCAAGTACAGTTGTTGTTTTCTAAAACTTATTCCAGGGTTAGCTGGAACGAGTTTCTATTGTTCAAATATAACTTATTGACATAATATTCTATTGAGCTATAATTCTCATGAAATATATGTTAATCAGTTAAAGAGGACAAGTAGCCACTAAAACAATAAAAGTATGTTGATCTTTCGATGGTATTTTCACACATGGTGTAACAACAGATTATTTTGTTTCTAGCTCCTTCTCCAATCTTCCTGTTTTTTTTAACATTGATCTAAAGTCAAATTGTTGCGTTTCATGTGTTGCTTTTTTCCGTAATGTTCCTTTTGTCCAATCTACATTAGTTTTCCGTAATCTTTTCTTGACAAAATCATCATTGTTGTTTATTTCATCAACAATATCTGCATGTCCATTCTGCCCAATCTGCTTTCTGAAAATGACAAGTTCAAATACTTTTTTTATTGCAATCAAAATATTGATTGAAACTTTAATAACATTTTGAAAAGAAAAAAACAAGAATGTGTCCATAGTACATGGATGCCCCACTTGCACTATCATTTTCTATGTTCAGTGGACCATGAAATTGGGGTCAAAACTCTAATTTGGCATTAAAATTAAAAAGATCATATCATAGGGAACATGTGTACTAAGTTTCAAGTTGTTTGGACTTCAACTTCATCAAAAACTACCTTGACCCAAAATTTAACCTGAAGCGGGACAGACTGACAGACGAACGAACGGACGCACAGACCAAAAAACATAATGCGCATAAATGGGGCATAAAAATATTATTTGCTCCTGAGGTATATCAATTTAATACAAAATTTCACTAAAGTGGACACACTGAAATGTCTTGTCTTCTTAATTTGTTAATAAAATGAATGTGTTGACTGACATTGAGATCATGAAAACTTAAATGTTAAATGACACTTTGAACTTTAACAACAATCATTGAACTATAAGCATGGTTCATGGTCAGTTGACCCTTGTCAAAAGGAACATTTACACCTTACAAAATTTCTTAATAAAAAAATATAGTTGACCTTTTACTCGCTCAGAGTAACTTAGCATGAAAACTTATCCTTTTTCATTATAGATTGATCATTGAACCTTAGACAGAAGTGAATTTCTGAAGACTCCTGTCAGACTGTCACTTACACCTTACAATGATGTCACAAACATATCTAATCTCTGAAACTATAAGCTATCAAATAACTTATAAATATATGTCTTTTAAGAATAAAATCAATATCTTTAATGTAAACGAAAGATCAAAATGTTCATGCATACCACAAACTCCTGTAAGAAGGAATATATGTACCTAAAAGACATATTCACACTAAAATACAGCCAATGAAATCAAAACAAAGGATGTCAGCAGCTTGGTAAAATTATATTGGTATATTTCAATGGTTTTATTTTCTCTGCTTTTCATTTGAGATTGACATAATTATTCAAATTTTTTTTACATACTCGAAATGGAGCCTTCAGATTAAATATAAAAAAATAATAGCCATTAAAAATAACTTTCTACTGTTACGAAACTTTTAGTCCAACTTACAGATGTATCTCCCTTAAATCGGCTCTACCACATTATATATTGGGTAATAGTAAACAGTTTCTGATGTAAAATAAGGGACGAAAATGTGAGACTGTGCATTCAATACAATAAAAATTTGTTTGAAATCAGCTGTAATGGTTCGTCATGGAGTTTTAGTGTGAACATATCTCATTGTCATTTGGGTATTTAACCAAATCCAATAACTACCATATGAAATTTAAAATAAGCTAGCATGCAAAAATAAAACTTAATAAATAAATATGTAAATAAATGTAATAAATTTGTCAATTTTACCTGTTATAGTTCTTCAAATGTACTAACAATATTGGAAGGTGTATGTATTTCAATTGTTTCGTTTGCATTTTTCTGTTTTTCACTTGCAAGAAACTGGTGAATATATGAATGGTTTTTGGTGTAACGAATGAAGTTGAAGAGGGGAGACAAATTAAAACCTGATCTCTTTCTTATGGTCATAGAAAACTATTAAATACATATCATACAACAAAAAAACCTTTTAAGGAGACTATTGCAAATATTTTTCTCTTGAACTCCTTAATTTCTTTCTCTCTTTAGATCCTTCCACTTTCCTCCCATCTTTACTTAATAATTGTCCACACAGCAAGGCCACATTTTTTTTCCCCATTCTGATCACTCTCTCATTTTTACAGTAAACCAACAAATTTTTGCAAGCAATCTACTTATGACTTTCAAACATTGTCAGAAGAAGAAATAAAATGCTCCGCAGGGCGCAGCTTGATACGACCGCAGAGGTCGAACCCTGAACAGTTGGGGCAAGTATGGACACAACATTCAAGCTTGATACAGCTCTAAATTTGGATTGTGATTAAATATTTGACACAGCATAGGTTTCTGACACAGAATGAATGTGGTCTAAGAACTTAAAAATTTTAAATTGGACATTCACCTATTATGGTCCAATATCCAAAATCTAAATACATGGTTAGATTCAGCATATCAAAGAACCCCAAGAATTCAATTTTTGATGAAATCAAACAAAGTTTAATTTCGGACCCTTTTGATCTCAATGTGGACAAAGTTGATAACGGGGCCCAAAAATCAAAATTCTAAATACATGGTTAGATTCAGCATATCAAAGAACCCCATATACTCAATTTTTGTTGAAATCAAACAAAGTTTAATTTTGGATTCCGATTTGGACCAACTTGAAAACTGGGCCCATAATCAAAAATCTAAACACATGTTTAGATTCAGCATATCAAAGAACCCTAAAAATTCAATTTTTGTTAAAATCAAACTAAGTTTAATTTTGGACCCTTTGGACCTTTATGTAGACCAATTTGAAAACGGAACCAAAAATTAAGAATCTAAATACACGGTTAGATTAGGCATATCAAAGAACCCCAATAATTCAATTTTTGATGAAATCAAACAAAGTTAAATTTTGGACCCTTTGGACCTCAATGTGGACCAATTTAAAAACGGGGCCCAAAATCCAAAAACTTAATACACGGTTATATTCAGCATATGAAAGAACCCCATATATTCAATTTTTGTTGAAATCAAACAAAGTTAAATTTTGGACCCCGATTTGGACCAACTTGAAAACTGGGCCCATTATCAAAAATCTAAATACATGGTTAGATTCAGCATATCAAAGAACCCCATATATTCAATTTTTGTTGAAATCAAATAAAGTTTAATTTTGGACCCCGATTTGGACCAACTTGAAAACTGGGCCCATAATCAAAAATCTAAATACATGGTTAGATTCAGCATATCAAAGAACCCCATATATTCACAATTTTTGTTGAAATCAAACTAAGTTTAATTTTGGACCCTTTGGACCTTTATGTAGACCAATTTGAAAACGGAACCAAAAATTAAGAATCTAAATACACGGTTAGATTTGGCATATCACAGAACCCTAATAATTCAATTTTTGATGAAATCAAACAAAGTTAAATTTTGGACCCTTTGGACCTCAATGTGGACCAATTTAAAAACAGGGCCCAAAATCCAAAAACTTAATACATGGTTAGATTCAGCATATTAAAGAACCCCAAGAATTCAAGAATAAAACCCCATTGAAATTGATCAAGAAATAAGCAATTTATACAAAGTATATTCTTTTGCACAATACTGTGCAATTGAATATTTCTTGCTATTGCGCAATACTGTACAATTGACAATTTCTTGCTATTGCGCAATATTGTGCTATTGGATATTTCTTGCTATTGCGCAATACTGTGCAATTGAAGATTTCTTGCTATTGCGCAATACTGTGCAATTGAAGATTTCTTGCTATTGTGCAATACTGTGCAATTGAAAATTTCTTGCTATTGCACAATACTTATTGTATAATAATTTACACATCCTGTTTGGTGTGTATTTCCTACCATATCATTATTATTTGCTTTTAAATATAAATCAGAAATAACCAACTTAAAATGGAAAATTTTAAAAGAAAAAAAAAAAGGAAAAAAAGAAAAAAAAAGAAAACCTCCCCCCCCCCCCCCCAAATTTTTTTTATCCCTTATGATTCATCACCCCCAAACTCAATCCCAGCCTTCCCTTTGTGGTATGGTATCTTGCAGTACAATTTCAGAGAGATCCATACAATTGAACACAAGTTATTGTCTGGAAACTAGAAAAATGCTTATTTTTGGCCCCTTTTTGGCCCCCAATTCCTAAACGTTTCGGGCTATTACCCCCAAACTCAATTCCAGCTTTCCCTTTGTGATATGGAACCTTGTAGTACAATTTAAGAAATATCCAAACACTTACACACAAGTAATTGTCATGAAACTAGAAAAATGCTTGTTTTTTGCCCCTTTTTTGGCCCCTAATTCCTAAAATTTTGAGGCAATTACCCCCAAAATCAATTACAGCCTTCCCTATGTGATATGAAACCTTGTGGTACAATGTCAGAGAGATCAATACACTTACACACAAGTTATTGTCTGGAAGTTACAAAAATGCTTATTTTTGGCCCCTTTTTGGCCCCTAATTCCTTAACTGTTGGTACCATAACCTCCAAAATCAATCCCAACCTTCCTCTCGTGGTAATGAACCTTATGGTAAAATTTCATGGAGATCCATTAACTTAAACTAAAGTTAGAGTGCGAAAACCAATGTGTCTTCGGATGACGCCGGACGACGACGACGCCAACGTCATACCAATATACGACCAAAAAATTTTTAATTTTTGCGGTCGTATTAAAATGAGAATATAAATCATTGCAAATAGGTCAACCTTAAGACATTCTCTAAAATACATAAAACTAAAGGCTCTATAGAGCCTGTGTCGCTCACCATGGTCTATGTGCATATTCAACAAAGGACACTTTCAAACATCGTAGACAAGAATAGAATTCATGACAAAAATCTCTGTTTTGTTGATCTTGTATTGCCTATCTCATGATTTAGTCTGTTTAGATTCTCTCTATCTTATTTAGTTTTTGCTCAAAACACAAAAGAGGGTAAAAAAAAATCCTCATTTGAGGGCAACCACTCCTATAAAGAGTGACAGTCTACTAACTATATCGGCAAAATTTGACTTGTTAGTAGAAATTGCCTTGCTGATCATTTTTGTGATTTTTACAAAGTGTCTATTTATCTATTATAATTTTTATCTTATAAGGCAAAACGCAAAAAAAATAAAAATGGAAAAAATCGTCATTAAAGGTCAATAACTCCAATAAGGAAACTTCGAACGATTACCTCCATCTTGTCTTGCTGACCATTTTTTGCTTATTTAAGTTTCTATCTATCTATTATAATTTTTTTTAAGATATAAGGCAAAAACGCAAAAAAATGGTAAAAATCGTCATCAAATGGCAATAACTCTAATAAGGAGTCTAGAGACGATTTCGACCATGGAGACTTATTTGTAGAACTTGTCTTGCTGATCATTTTTGCAGTTTAAAGTTTCCCTCTATCTATTATAGTTTTCAAGATAATAAGCAAAAATGACAAAAAATAGTAAAATTTGTCATTTAAGGGCAATAACTCCTGTAAGAAGTCATCTGACAGTTTTGACTAAAACTACAATTGGTAGAGCATAACATTCTACACTTTTTTGCTTCTGTCAGATTTTCTCTATTTATTATGGTTTACAAATAGACAAAACTTGCATTTTACCCCTATGTTCTATTTTTAGCCATGTCCGCCATATTGGTTGGCAGGCAGGGTCATCAGACACATTTTTTTAAATTAGATACCCCAATGATTGTGGCCAAGTTTGGTTAAATTTGGCCCAGTAGTTTCAAAGAAGATTTTTGTAAAAGTTAACGACAATGGACGCCAAGTGATGAGAAAAGGTCACTTGGCCCTTCAGACCAGGTGAGCTAAAAAGTGAGAAAATCTAAAAATTATTTTGTATTTAAGCTGACAAGACAAAAGGCTAAACACAGAAATGAGTTGGTTTACAGTATTTCATTAGACGTATTATCAACCATATTCATATTCTTACACTTCAGAGTCAGACTTACTCTTGGAACTGAACTTTTGGCACTGAACCATTTTTAAATCCATTCTGTACAACTGGTTTCAACTTGCTCTGTAAAACATTAGAATTCTCATCTGACGGTAATAATGGCGATGTTGGTGAACTGTTTCCATTCAACATTAGAGGTGGTATAGGAGGCGCTTTTGTTTTTTTAATGGCTGGTGGAAGTGGTGCTTTGCCTTTTGTTGATACTGGTGGCGGTGGTGGTGGAGGTGGCGTAGGTGGCACTTTACTTGTGGATGGCAAATCAGGAGGAGGTAGAGGTGGAGGAGGAGGGAAATATATCTGTGGCTGCTGGCGATGTCTTGAATCACTTAATGATTCTGGAATATTGGTATCCTCGACTGGTACTTGCTGGCGTTTGCTCCATAAATGAACAATACTTTGAGCACATTCGTCTTCAAGTCTCTTAGTTAAGTCATTAACATCATTTTCATTCAGTAATTCCTCTTTATTGGAATTCAAATCTGGTTCTATGTTAAAATTTGTGTCAGTATTGCTTTCACTATAAAAATAAAATTATCAATTTTTTTCTAAAATAGCAAAATCTAATTTTCCTTTACCGGGTGATAACTATCCTGGCATTATCAATAATAAATGCATCTAGAATTGAGTTTTTTATTTTAGATTTACATATATAATGCATTATTCCATACAAATAATTTGGTTATGAGTTAAGATTTTCTGATCCTTAACAAAAAGAATTTACAATTCAGCATATCTTATGCCTTTCAGTTGCAAGGAAAAACAATTTTCACTGTCTTAGAGGGATATCAGATCAAACAATAAACCATATGTATTCCAGTATAAGCCCCTTGCCCCTAGCACACACCCTCCCCTTCATCAAATTTTTTGCCAAATAGAAAATTGCAAGTTTGAGTTTCCTTATCATTCTTTTTTTTCTTGTTTCAGATTTTAAAAATACGTTCCAAATTGCACATTAAGCATTAAAAAAATTTGGGATACAACTTTACTAGCTACATTACTGAAATCAGATGTTTTACAAGATTCAAAATATTTTTCGTCCACACCCACTTAAGAAAAAATATTCACAAGAGCTTAACTTATATAATTAATTCAGTACATGTTCAACTTTACATCATAAATCCACAAAAGCATGTTAAGCAAAGGAAGGAAGGGAGGGACAACTCATGGTTTCAGCTATTAAACATGCAAAGAGTCATTCCCTTGTTCTAACTGAAAATTCATACATTTTTTAATTATTGCAAAACAGTATTTGATATCATACAACTTGAATTTATTCAACAAAAAAAAAAAAATAAATGCTGACTACCAGCATTGAATATAATAGAAACTTAATTTTTACTATCATTATTTTATGCTAAACATTATTTTCAGTCAGTATTGAATATAAAAAAATTCAGACTAGCTATTTTTTATTTTTCAAACATTATACTGCCTGGCTGTATTTTAAATTTAATATATTATGTGAACTGGCTGTAAAATCTTACCCAGATGTCTCTGCAAATGAATTGTAGTACTTAGCAGTTTCAGGTTCTATTACACCCTTCATTTCTCTGAAAATAAAAATAAAAACAAATGTGCATACATGTATAAAGTTTCATAGGCCATAACTATAGCTTAACTTAAGCAAATCATGATAATGCTGGGGCTTCCACTAGCCTGTCAACACTGAGGTTGTGAATTTGAGCCATGTAAATGGCAGGTGCGTTTTCCTGCCAAAGGTGGTTCTCTATGGGCACTCTGGTTTGCTCTGCCAATAAAAAATGGTCACCAAGAAATAGTCAATAAGTGCCAAAAACACCAATAAATCGATCAATCAGATAATGTGGTATACCTCATAAATCCTTGATTCAAATTTCTTTTTAGAGAATGCAAAAATTCATCAATTCAAATCAAAAAGACGGTTTCGGTTAAAAAAAATATTAACAAGTTGTTTTAATTTATTCATCTTGTAACAAATTAGATAATTTTACATATTTCTTTGGCTTATTTGCAATTTTATTATGTTATGACTGCAAAAACTGAAAAAAAAAAAAAAATAAAAATTCATGCCTCTATTTTGTATGCAAAACAAATCAAAGTTGTTCCCCCAAAAATTATTTTGATTATAAAAAAAATTAAATTCTAGGTGCATCAAATCCATTAAGAGCTTATGAAAAATTCATATAAATATATACATAAAGCATCCTACCTCTAAACTAAAGAAGCTGGTTCAATGAAACAAACTTCTATAATCGACCTCAAATGTAAAAATGTCCTTCTATCTAACAAACCATTAGACACACACTCTTTCACCTGAATGAATATCTTGCATGTGGAAGACAAACCTTATATATGATGACTTCTATTTCAAACAAGAGATAATGAATGTAATCGAGAAGGTGCTAATTTGTAATAGCACATGAAGTTAACGGTTTTGAAAACAAATCACCTGCGTAATGTAATGGTATAAAATCACCTGATGTACTGACCAATGATAGATGACCATACGTCATTAATGTAGCCTTATGAAAATCCAATATTTGACATATTATGTTACATATCAGTTTTTAAAGAAAACTGATTAAAATTACCTCAACTATAAAGGATGCTAGTGTTGTAATTAAAGTATACTTTTCTCATGACCAGTATTTTTTACAAAAAAACATATATTTTACCAAATTTTGACACTAATATGACATAATCAAAGCATTGTCAGTGCTGTGATCTAGCCATTTAAAAAAAAATATGGCTAGATCACAGCACTGACAAAAGCTAGTTGGACATTTTTTCTAATTTTATTTTCAACATTATTTTCATTAAACTGACTCCTGTAAAACATCAAAGACAGCCATCAAAACTTTGGACAAGTGATTTGGCCCCTAATGTTACTTTGTGTTTAGATTCAATTTCTATTAACATAAAAGAGAGAGAGAAAAGTGCAGAATAAATGGCTAAAAATAAATTTGAGAAAAATAGGCCAAAATAATAAGAAATAGATCGAGAATAATCAAGTGCTAAAATATAAAAAATAAAAGCATAATGGGCAAAATTTATAAAGAATTGAGAAAAATCACTAAAACAAAAATTAAAGAATACAGAACTGAAGATACCCAGACCCTCAGATAAGAATGTAAAATGTTAAAATATTTTAATCATTAGTTGTCTCCCTTAGGAGGTACATAAATGTTCATTGACAATGGAGAGCTAGCGGACAGAGCAAATTTATCTGTGCATAATGTGTGTATTACGTTTAAGTTTTTCAAATCTTTTAATTACATATTATCTTTTGTTAATCTAAAAAATTTTGATACCATTAGTTATTATATATATATTGACTGGTTATGAGGGTAATAGCAAGTTTGTTGTCCCTGAGATACCAACTATTGCTTGAGGCTAAGCCGAGGTCAATAGTTTGTATCAAAGGGACAACAAACTTGCTATTACACTTATACAGAACAAAACAACTTTCTAAAAAGACTACATACAGCACTTGGAAAAAAAACCCAAATAGTCACATAAACATGCACAAGATGAACTACCCGTTTTTTTTGGTGCTATTTGTCAATATTTTATTTACTGTAATCAAGACCAGGAATCCTTGTGTAAAAATTCCTGTGCATAATAAACGCTAGCTAAAATAGATTTGCAATCCCAGTTTATGAAGACGATGACAGACCCATACCATACATTTGTTATGTTTTAGATCTTAAAATATGTCACGTAGATTTTCTTTTTCTTTTTTAATTGCTTCTGGTAAGTTATATATTAATTAATAATTACAACAGACACATACAGATTATACCGTTTACGATGCTTTAGAGTTAAACGTTGCCAAGCGCACAAATCCAAGCAGAATAGTCAATGACGTCATTGTTGTCCAATGAAAAATTAGTATGAAAAAGTACGGAAAATAAGTTTATAACTATTGACTGGGGTAATAGTCTTTGAAACTATTGACTGGAAAATAGCCTGTGGAAAGAAATAGCACAAATATTTCATTCTTTTTAATATAGAAAAAACATACTGAGGTATAATAATTTTCACTAACAATTTGTTAAAACGCCAATGTATCACTTTCAACTTATCATGCTTATACGTGGACAGAAGCCAATTTTGTCAAGTATAGAACTAGTCAACGATTGACAAAGGGAAGCAATTTATGTTAAAAGTCTGTAATAACAGAGTCAAATCGGTAATTGGCAAATGGACTATTGTATAATGACAATTTTCTAGCTGTGTTAGATATTGTGTCAAAGATTAAATATTTTTGTAAATCATTGTTTTTCCTGCATAAGAAAGATTTTTTTGTAGTCAGAAAAAGTAAACACAATGGTTCTTCCTAGTGGGTATGTCCTAACTATCTACAAAGTTTCATGAAATTCTGTTGTGTGGTTTCAGAGGAGTTGAGATGAAAAGAACAGGACTGATGGAATGACGGACTAACAGACTGACAGACGGACGGGTCAAAAACATTATACCCTATGGAACATTGCTCCATGGGGTATAATAAGCCGCATGCTGAAATTCTAAAATTTAACAACCTCAAATGATATATAATAACTCACAGGCAACAGAAAAAATATCTATATGACAGTTTGAACTAGTTTAAATAGTGCAGAAATATAAATATCATATCATATTAGCTTAATTAATTACAAAAATATGAATTACATCTTATAAAAATAAGTACCCAAATTATTAAAGTAACATCAAACTGAAATGTAATCGTACATAAGATTTACAATGAACATCTTAAATTGTTGACGGATATGATGAGTCAGTGTCTCAACTTATTAGGGACATGTTTTGGTGGTCTTAGATCTTTCAATACCAGTATAGTCGTAGGATCTAAAATTTTACCGAATTGTGTCCTATTCCCAATTGTGACATTTTGACTGAGTGTGAATTCGCATGGTGGGTTATGCATTCATAGCAGGAGATCCTTACCCAGTCGACACATCCAGTTAGATTGCTCCTTTTGGAGTTCATGCAATTCCTTTTGTTTGTTGCCTTGATTTGTCTCTTCCTAATCAATGTATGAGATTTCAACATCAATTTAAAAAATAAATCTGTCACTCCAATTTTTATTCTGAGATAAGACAAATCATTACATAATAACAGCAGTAAAATATTTAAAAATTCTACTTTTGGATATTAAAAATGGCGATAACTCACAAAGGAGATATACAAAAAATCTTGAAAATTAACAGAGACCTTCATTAAGTCCCAGGAAACAACATATTTAAATTTGAAAAAAATTTGTTTAAGCATTTTCATGTTATTGTGCTGACACTGTTTGGCAGCCGCCAAACCGCCCAGCCGCCCGCCGTATATCACCATTTTAATAACCGATATTTCCTTCGAAAATCCAGTTAAAAAGGATATGTGGTATGATTGCCAATGAGACAACTATCCACTAAAGTTCAAAAAGAAGTGGATGTAAGCAATTATAAGCAATTATAGGCAACCGTAAAGCCTTCACTACTGTCGCCTTAATTTAATACCCCCTATAGCACTAGCTGTCAATAATTAAATTATAAATCTAACATGCTGGCACTAAGCTTGCACACTGAAATTTTGAAATTAAAGAATCAGGAATGAAGAAATATTATAACTCTCTGGCAACAGAAAAAAATCTTTATGACAGATTGAACTTGTTAAAAGTTCAGAAATATGAATACCATATCATAAGTTTTTATTAATTACAAAAATCTGAATTACATCTTATATCAGCATATCATCATATCATAAGCTTCCTTAATTATAAAAATTAATTGCACATGTTTTTAAACTGATATGTAATGATGCTTTGTCAAGGTTAGATTAAGAACTCATATATAATCAGGAATTGTCCTTCAAGGCGGTCTCCAGGTAATAAGTTATATATATATATTGTCCTAATTTACGATCAGCAAGTTATTGCCCACAAGTTCCACATGATTTTACTGTTTTATAATTTGTATTTAGTTAAATGACCTTAGAATAATTATAGACGATTAATTGCAAATCTATTTTGTTTTATAATTTGTATTTAGTTAATTGACCATAGAATAATTATAGACGATTAATTGCAAATCTATTTTGTTTTATAATTTTTATTTAGTTAAATGACCATAGAATAATTATAGACGATTAATTGCAAATCTATTTTAAGAATCAGAAAGAAAAATCTTTTATCTAAGAACAAGCACACTTTTAACCTATATTTTTTTCTCTCTAAAATTTTGATTAAATCAGTACTTTACAATATCTTTTGAAATTTTTTTCACTTACTGTGGGTTCATTATTATTCGAGGGATACCAATTTTCGTGGATTTCGCAGGTACATGTGAACCACGAATTCAAATGTTCAACGAAGTACAAATTTTCTATAGGCTTGTATGCAGACTTTGGCAAAACCACTAAATAAAACATCGACAAAATCTTTTTTTTAATTCTTTATCCACGAAAATTGATAACAACGAAAATAAATGAATTCACAGTTGTTAAAAAATGTTGTTATTTAAGGTTGTCTTATCATTAAGCATTTTGGGGCCTTGGTGGCAGAGTGGTCTAAGTAGTTCAACGACTG